CCAGCTTGGCCAGTGGCGTCCCCCCAGCTCAGCCCTCCCTGGGCAGAGGTCCAGCCAGGGATGGGATCTGAATGGCTCCCGCTCACCAGCGATGCTCGCGGTAGGCAAAGACCACCAGAGCATTAGGTTTGCTGTCACTGTCAGGACAGTCCTGGAAAGCAGACCCCACCGCCCCACCCGTCACCCCCCAGGCCCCGCTCCCCCAAGAAAGACACTCGGGGCAGTGGGTTTGTCAGTGGAGTTTATTTGGAGCAGGAACAAGCAGTGCCCTGGGGCCAGGAGAGGCGGGGGGGTGGGGCGCGGAGCTCGGAGCATCCCAGCCTGGGCACAGGGCTCCTCTAGATCAGCTCCTGAGACACAGAAGGGCAGGGCCTCAGGGCACTGCCTGACCTCCAAAGGCCCCTCGGGGCAGTGGTTAGGGCCACGAGTGGGGGCCCGTGTCCTAGCTGCGTGACTGCAAGCAAAAAGCCTCCCTGGGCCTCCGTTTCTCTCCCTACAAGGCAGGGTCACATTCCCCAGTTCTCAGGGCTGTGCTGAGACAGAGGGGATCACGCAGGGGACGGGCTAGCACCGTGTGGGACACGGGACCCCGAGACGGTGCGCACAGGGCTGTGTCCCCACCCAGGCGGGATGTGAGTGCCCTGAGGCCAGAACGGCAGGGCGAGGGCCCGGCCTCCTCCCGGCCCCGCCCCCCAGCCCTGTCCTCGAGCCCCCAGCTTCCGGGGTCCCCCTCTGGCAGCCTGGCGCCCACTCCCTGGAGGCCCAGGATACAGAGTGATTCAGGACCCCTGTCGGGTCGGAAGACTCCGCTTGGGGGGCTCAGCGCAGCCCAGGGCTCGGCTCACCTCCTTCAGGAGCTTGGCGCATCTCCCTGTGGACAGGGGTGGCGTGAGGTGCCGCAGGACTGGGCCCTCCCCACCCTCAGGGTCCCCAGCCCAGGGCCCACCCAGAAGGTCTGGGGCTCACCATGCCGGGCCACCAGGTAAAGCCCCGTGTCTGCTGTCATCTCCCGGAATCTCCAGAAGCCTGGCCCATACTCGTCCTCCAGGCTCCGAGCTGTGGGGGGCACGGGGGGACTGGGCTGGCGGGGCTACCCCCGGGAGGGGAGCAACAGGCCCCCCCTCCCACCCCAGGGTGCACTTACTGAAATACTTGAGCACATGGTAGTCCTTGCCTTGCCAGTGGAGGGACAGCCTCAAAATGGCATACTGTTCATAGTCTGTGTCTATCACGTGGATCTCCCTGTGGCCTGGCAGCAGGTAGGAGGGGAGAGACTGCAGGCATGCCGGCAGGTACCGCGCGGCTTGGGAGACCTCCGAGGTGGGGTGGGGGGTCTTACTCCATCCTCTCCCCACCCAGCGCCCGGACCTGCCCATCATGCTAGGCATGGGGGGGAAGGGGACGGGTAGAGCAGCCCTTGAAGGATGACCCACTTGTGTTAAGAGAATGGGAGCATCTGGGGCATGAGGAGGAGTGCAGGGAACAGCATGGGGAACAGCATAGGAAAAATAGCAAGGCCAAGTGTAGCTGGTATGCAGGGCCAGGGGGTTGAAACTATAGCAACAGGCAAGGGTTCTTACCAGGAAAAATGAATGTCCCCGAAACATCTATTTTTGAGCTCACTATTTTTTCTGTCTCACAACTTCCTGAGCTGAAAGGCAGCAACGTGCTCATCAAGGAAATGCCAGCCTGCATTCTTTCTGCCGGGCACATCCCAGGGGGTGTAGAGAGGGGAATGTATCCTCAGAAAGAGCTCCAGCAGTGTGTCTGTCCCCAGGAGAGCCTGGGCCAGAATGAGGGTGGTGGAGGTGCAGAGCGGGGACCTCCAGAGAGCCCTGTGCCCACTTTTCTTTCTTATAACTTAATGGGACTTTATCAAAACTCTACGCTTATTTTTGGGAGAATTGAAGGTCTGGGGCAGATCTACATGTGGCAGCTCCAGGAGCCTGCGGGCGGGTTGGTGCTGGGGATGGGGGTCAAGGTCTTGGCTTTGGACACAGGGAGGACCCCACAGCTGCAGGGGTGCAGCCGGACTGCTTCCAGGCACTCGGCCTCACATACTTGTTCCTACCAGGGCTCCCGGGGGAGGGACCCCTCACCTGTTATACGCAGCCTTCACAATCAGCTCATGTCCACTCAAGGTCAGGAACAAGGCTTCCAGCCTTTTTGGGGTCTTCAGTGCCAGGTTTTGGCTGGAGGCCACACCAACTTCCCGCCAGAATCCTGCAATCTAGAGAGAGAAGCCAGAGCCCCGTCCGACATGGCAGACCCACCCAGGGCCCCCGAGCAGGGTGCCAGGGGTCCCTGAAAGGTCAGCAAGTCTTTGTGGCAAAGCAGCGGTCACCATCCTTCGGAGGAGCCCCTCCAGCCCATCAGACAGCAGTGCACCGTCCCCGGGGCCCGGACGCCAGGGGCAAGAGTGCTTGGGGCCCGAGAGAGGAGGCAGTGGCCAGGAGCCCTTGTCACCCACGGAGGGTACAGCTTCGCCCCCACACTGGGACCTGGGGTAGGGAACTCCCACCTTCTGAAATCCACCCACAGCCCAGAACTTCCATCTGAAACCTGGAAACCGATTGTTTTGCAAGAGAAAAGAATACATGCCCCCAGTACATGTCATCCCTAAGCCTTCTGATGTGCTCCCAGCGCGGCTGCCAGCGCAGACCTGTGAAGAAGGATCTGGGGCCCCAGATGAGCTCCCCGCACTGGGAAAGCATCCTCTGGTCGCCACACTGTGCGGCACCCTGGGAGCTGGTACGACAGGGCTGCTCCCAGGCACTTGGCCTGTTCCTACCGGAGCTCCCGGGGGACGGACCCCAATGATCCAGGAGCAGGAGGTGGCCACACTGAGCCCTGGTCCCTGGAGACCCTGGAGGACCAGCCTGCCTGCCCACGGGAGACCCTCAGGGAGGGCTCTGGCCCTGCCGGTCCCTGGGCACTTGCTCTCACACCCCCTCTCCAGGACAGGGGTGACCAGCCAGGCTGGGCTCAGAGCCTCAGCCACCTGCTCTGTCCAGGCTGACCTGGGTGGGTCCTGGGGCCCCTGATGTAGCTGCTCTGGCATCAGCTGGGGGTTGGAGGGACAGGGGGGCGGTGGCTGGAGTAGCTGGACACTCAGGCCACTCCCTGCCCCGGCCTCCCCACGTAAGACAGAAAAGCCACCTTCTGCAGATCCAGGTCCTGTATGGCTGTGGCCCCCTGCACCATGACGACACCCAGGATAGCACTCAGCAGCCCAGCCTCCATCGCTGCTCTCAGTGCCTCTGCTCCCCCAGCACCTGGGTTTATACCAGAGGAGTGTTGCGCAAGAACCTGAGCATGTCATCAGCACACGTGGCCGAGACCGCTCAGCGAAACAGCTTTTTGCAGGGGCGCCATGCAGACCCAGTGACACCCACAGCCGCTGGGGTGGGGTCAGCCTGCACGAACGCAGTGGCACCACCACCTTCCTGGCCTGGCACGACAGTGGACCCGGCAGTGGGGCGGCTGGGGACCACAGCTCCAGGCCTGTAGGAGATGACAGACGGGTATGGCGTGCCCAGGCCCCCAGGCACAGATCTCCTTCCTCACGGGGCACAGGCGGTTTTCAGGCTCTTTCTGATCAGTTTTGGGACAGGTGAAGAAAGGCTCCGAGGGTCTGGTGTGGCTGGCTGAGGCAGCACTGAGCTGGGGGGGGACAAGAATGAGGGGTCCCCTCTTCCTGGGGAGGTCCCCGCGGGGAGGCGAAGCTTGGGAGCAGCATGGAGAGGCACAGAGGCCCCCGGGAGACAGAGGTGGGGGCCACATCTCAGGGACCTCTGCGCACACTGGGGAGCCACCTTCCTGCGGCCCGTGTCCCCGTCCACCATGACCGTACCCAGCCCCACCCCCAGGCCAGGCCCCATGCCCGACCTCCCCTGGACTCACTCAGGCCTCCCACACACAGCCGGGTACGACCCACAGCCCAGAAGGCCGGCCTGAGAGAGGCCCTGTCTTCCTGACCCACCGACCTGATGCACACAGCCAGCACATGAGCGAGGGTGGTGGGAGGCCAGAGCCGGCTCTTCCCCAGTTGGCCCCCCCCCACCGACAGTACAGCTGGGCGCCCCCCGGCTGACAGATTTTATCCCGACAATAAGCACGGCAAGAGCAGCTGGGCTTCGGGGACAGCAGCCCTGGCCCGGCCAGCTGTGCGGCTCAGGGCAAGCTATGAGCCTTGGTTTCCCATCTGTAATGGCCACAAAGCCAGGGGACAGGTGCCATGTGGCCAGGAGGGGTCTGAGGGTGCCCAGAGCAGCTCCTGCCCAGATCAGCATCCCTGGGTCTTGACCAGTAAGAGGCAACCTTCCCAGCTTCAGAGCCAGAAAAGTGCACCTTGGAACGGCTCCAGGCTTGGTCAGCTAAAGGGCAGCTCCCCCCACCAGGGGACCTGGCCACCTCGGATCCTGGGTGCTGCACTGCCCTCCCACAAAGTCTGTCAGTTTAGGGTCAGGCACGGGGGGAAAGGTCAGGCCAGGACAGGGAAGCCCAGAGCCAGCCAGCCCGCCGGAGGCCGAGGGGGCCACCACACAGCAAGAAGAGCGGGGGCCCCCCAAGGAAGCTGAGGACCGGCTGGTCTGGGCCCCAGGCTGCTCCCAGCCTGGGCTGACGAGAGAGGGCCCCCCCACCCCGGCCAGGGATGTGCTTAGCCAGGCAGCAGAGGGAGGACAGGAAGCATGGGGGACGATGTCTCTGGGTGACCAGGAGAAGGACAGACGCCCCTCATCTGATCTGGCTGATTGCCTCCGGCTCCAGCCCTGGGAAGGCTGCTGGACACCCATGAGCAATGAAGCAGGACCCCCACCACCTTCCTGCCCCACCCCACGCCCAGCCCTTTGAAGTGTGTGCACTGGACATAACCTGGACATGCAGAGCTCCTATCAGGAGAAGAACGGCAGTGGCCAGAGGCCCCCAGGGAGGGCTCTCTTCCCCACCAACATCTCATAGAGGGTCCGCAGGGAGCCCACGCCCTGGAGCCTGACCACTGGGCCTGAACCTCAGCCTGGCCCCTTGCTGGGCAAGTCACCAACTTCTGTATGCCTCAGTTTCCTGAATAAAGAATGCAGCAAGCTCACTGTGTGTATCCAGGGGTCCACTGTGGAGCATATGACATGCCAAAGGTCAAGGTCACCCCAGCGGCAGGAGAGAACACCCCCATGACCCTGCTTCGAAGCCCCCGTGTTGCTGTGCCCGAGCTCCTGCAGCCAGGGGTCTGTGCATGCCCAGCGGAGCCCCAGCAGCAAGGCTGGTCTTCACAGGGCACCCTGGCTCCCTGAAGGTGCTGTGAACCCATGGGGGAGAGGACAGTGGCATTAGACACCGCCTACGGGTACAGCCCCTCACGGGTGCCACACTGGACTGGAGCCTCCGGTGCCCAGGGTCAGGGTCTCCTGCAGGCCCACTTCCCTGCTTCAGTTTCCCCAGGAGTCCTGGATCAAGACAGGGCTCACTGTGCCTTCCCCAAGGGCCTCCGCAAAGAAGTGAGGGGCCTCTAGACTGCAGAATATGTTTATTGAGTGGAAGAGGGAGGTCCGGGGATGAAGAAGAGGGGGTGACCCAGGAGGATGGTGGGTCTGGACAACTCGGGACGACAAGGTCTGCTGGTCCAGCTCACGCTGCCAGACAGGAAAGGCACAGTCACTCCATGCGCCCACTCTCAACAAACACTCCTCAGAGCCTCTGGCTGCCCCCATCCACAGCATGGGGCCCCCCCAAGCACACCAGTGGCCACTAAAGCACAGCAAAACCCCCAGACTCAGCACCTGAGAGGGGGTCAACTTGGGGCGTTTTACCCTGAAAGTTGGGGCGGAGCACGCAGCAAGAAGCTGGCGCTCATACTCTCCAAAGGTAGAACCTTCCGGAGGGTGATCTGACACATCCCTGCCCCCTCTCCTCCCACCTAAGACAACTGCCTGTGTGGTGCAGACAGGGCCAGGGGGCTGGCAGCATCTTCTAGACCCACGAGAAGTCTAAACAGCCCAAACGCCCCACTGGGTGACTAGCCAGCACAGCCAGGGAGAGCAGGATGCCGGGCGGGGTGCCGGGCGGGGAGCCGGGCGGGGTGCCGGGCGGGGTGCCGGGAGGGGTGCCGGGTGTGATGCCGGGTGGGGTGCCGGGCGGGGTGCCAGGAGGGGTGCCGGGCGGGGTGCCGGGAGGGGTGCCAGGCACACTCCCTGCAGGGTGAGGAAGGAGCCCCACCACACAAACACAGGCCTGCCAGGAGGGGCCACAGGGCTGCCTCTGACACTTCTGTTATTTATTGTTTTATGTGGGTTCCCAAACTATTCACTGTGAACTCAGTAAGGGGCTGGACAGTTTCCTGGCATGTACTTGGGAGAAGGTGTCCCCAAGAGCCCACCTGCTTCCATGTCCCAAGGGCTCACGGGGACCCAGCCCTCTGACAGCAGAGATCCACAAGGTGGCAGTTCCCACCTCATGGGACCCTCTGGGGGAGACCAAGTACTTAGTTCCAAGGCCCAGCACCCCAGGGGGTGAGTCAGAGGCTGTGGGACACACACACACTGGATTGACAGCGTCCCCCAAAATTCATGTCCACCCGGGTCCTCAGAACGGGACCTTACTTGAAGACAGGGTGTTTGTGGACGTGACGAGTTAAGGATGGAGATGAGGGATGTAGGGTGGGCCCGGGCCCCGTGACTGGTGTCCTCGTAAGAAGAGAGACATTTGAACACACGCAGAGGGGGGACAGCCGTGTGACAATCGAGGCAGGGGTAGCGGGCGTGGGTCTACAAGCCAAGGGACGCCGAGGACCGCCAGCGCCAGCAGAAGCTGGGAGAGGCCGAGATTCTGCCCTGGAGCCTCCAGAAGGAACCAGCCCGGCCCACTCCTTGACGTTGGGCCTCTGGCCCCCAGAACTGTGGGGAGTACACTTCCGTCATATGTGGTAATGTATTAAGGCAGCCCTAGGAAATCAGAGGAGGCTTCCTGGAAGAGGTAGCGTGGAAGCCGAGGCCTGAATCGTGGAAGTGGACGGCCAGGCAGCTGGGTGGAGGGTGTGGGGATCGTGGGAGGCAGGGTGCACAGCAGACAGGGCAGGCGGCCAGGGGCTGCCCACACCGGCCCTGGGGAGCAGGACGGAGGAGCCACCCTGCCTCCCTCCTACCTGGGAAGGGCCGAGGTGGGTCTCCGCAGGTGTCAGGGAGCCTCCTGGCCCCCAGAGGAGCACATATCTGTGGGAAGGAAGAGAGTCCTTGCGAGGCTGAGCTGGCCGGGATGCCCACAGCTTCCTGCAGCCCGACCCCTGGGTGCCTGGGGCCCTCAAACAGCCCCGCCCACTGAAAGACTCTCCCTTCCTGGTGGCCCAACACCTCTTCCTTAGTGTGTCTTGGGGGAAAGAGAGGGCTGTGGGCAGCAGCGGCTGGAGGGCCTGCCAACCCACCCTTACAAGAGACGCCACCTCATCTGGCTCACTCCCAGGAGTCGGGAAGGGGCCTGTGTACCTGACTTGGGCAGCATGACCATCACGTCGTCCGGGAGCCCCACAGTGGGGTAGAAGTCCCGGAAGATCTTCACAGCTTGGGGACTTGCTTCCTGGGTCCGGCCTGGGGCAGAGGAGGGCCCCTGTGAGCGCTGTGGCTCTCAGAGGAGAGGTGAGGGGGGCGGAGGTCTCCTGGGGCTCTCAGAGAGGAGGGGGGGCAGAGGTCTCCTGGGGTTCACAGAGGTGAGGGGAGGGGGCGGAGGTCTCCTGGGGCTCTCAGAGAGGAGGGGGGCGGAGGTCTCCTGGGGCTCTCAGAGAGGAGGGGGGCGGAGGTCTCCTGGGGCTCTCAGAGAAGGGGGGAGCGGAGGTCTCCTGGGGCTCTCAAAGGGGAGGGGAGGGGGCAGAGGTCTCCTGGGGCTCACAGAGGTGGGGGGGTGGAGGTCTCCTGGGGCTCTCAGAGGTGGAGGGGGGTGCAGAGCTCTCCTGGCCTCAGTGCTCTTCCTTGAGAGTTGACAGCAGGTCTACCACCCAAGATGGGACAGGTTGTGCACTGCACAAAAGTGCCTGCCTGGCTGGGGGATCAATGGGGACTGGAAGCCACCCAGAAGGGTGTCCTTTCCTAATTCACAGGGGGTATCTGGGAGATTGGGATGGCCTGGCTCTTCCCCAGGGCCATGTCCCCCTGGGCCCCCACCCCTCAGGCCAAAACCAGTGTCCAGCCCTCACCCCAACCTCCGTACCTTGGGGAGCCCCTGGCCCGCTCTGCCAAAGCCCTGGGAAATTAAATTAAAGCAAAATAGGACCTCAGCCCCCACTTAGGCTCTCAGGCAGTGGGTCCCCACCCTCAGGAGGCCTGAAAGCTGCATGGACTTCAGCCCAAGTGCCTGGCCCTCAGAGGCCCCTCGAGCCGACTCCTACCCATCCGAAGAGCTGGGGGGTCCTGCCACCCCTGTCTGGTCCTTCTTGGCTTGAAGTTGGGGGTGATCGATGTGGGAAGGCAGATCCTGAGGGGTGGGGCTGGGGGGAGACAGAGAAGGTGGGGCGGGGCCCGGGTGGGGAAGAGAGGGCTGGGTGGGCAGTGACCAGTGGGGCCCGAGTAGGGAGGGCGGGCAGCTGGGTGCCCTCACTGTAGAGCTGCACCATGGTGCTGCGCGGTCCCTCCAGCTCCTTGCAGATATAGACCGCAGCGAAGGAGCTATAGTCTGTGTCCACGATGCGCACATCCAGGTAGCCCAGGGCTGCAGAGGAGGGGGCCAGCCAGCCATGGAGAAGTGTCCAGGGCCCAGACACTGACCCCACCCACACTTGTCCTCTGCTTCGGGGCTCAAGGGAAGGGCAAAAGGTGGAGGGAAGGAGGGGAGGGGCAGGAGATGGTGATGGGGGTGGTCCCAGGTAGAAGGGCAGTTCACGTCATCCCATGGAGAAACTGTGTCAGGGGTCCCGGCAAGTGGAGCAGGACCTACCTGGGACTTTGAAGTGGCCCTCAGAGCCCACCCTCAGGTACTCAGCATCCACCTGGTGACAGCCATCAGCCCTGGGGGTGCACAGCCCGGGGCTCACTCTCAGCTGCTGGCCCAGCCTACCCCCACCCCCAGCCCACCGCACTCACCGAGGGAACTCCATGTGGACAATGAGGTTGCCCCCCACCATGGCCTTGATGGCCCTGGTGGACATTAGCAGGTGATCCTTCTTGCCCAGGAAGACCTTGCAGTTGGAGACCATGGAGGCCACGTACCAGAGGCCTGAGAACTGCAAAGCAGCTCAGTGGCTGGCTTTGCCCTGGGACCAGGGCCACAAAGCCACATGGCCACACAGGCTTGTCTGGAACCACACGGCCGGGGGTTTCTGTGCCCATCTCTTGCCCTGAGCCCCTGTTCTGCCACCTACCTGGGTGGGTTGCATGACCTCGGTTCCCCCAACCGTAAAATGGGTCAGTAATTACCCCCACAAGGTTGTTTCAGGATTAAATGGAGAGAGGGTCCAAGGGTCCGAGGACAGCGCACTGTTACCCCATGGTGCTAGCACTTCCCGTGGGGCTCAGGCCCCATGCCCACCTGCAACACAGCACAGGGGCCTCTGTTACCTTCTTAGCATCAAAATCGGGCTGCACCAGGACCTCAGCCCAAGCCAGGGACACACCCAGAGCAGCACCAGGACCTGGCCCAGCAGGACACACTTCATCGCCATGCCTGCTCTCCAGCCCCTGGCACCTGAATCCGAAGCCCAGGAGGCCAGGCTTTATAGCCCAGCCCAGCCGCTGGGCTCCACCAAGGAGCAGTCGGGCAGCAGAAGGCACGTGGCTCTGGAAACTCAGCCCTCTTTGTCCATGGTCCCGCACAATCACCCAAGGTCCCCCACCAGCCCCAGGGGTCATTTCCTGGAGGGCTCCAGAGAGGCGGGCTCTCACCACTCACCTCTCCCGATCCAGACCTGCCAGCCAGCCACCAAGGACCAAGCAGAGACCTCATCTTGGCCTCCATCCACCTCCAGACTGCTGGGGCTGGGGGCCCAGGGCACTTGGGGGTGCGATAGCCAGCAGGCCCCTACTCAGGGTCTGGGCCCCCAAAGCCTCACTCACTCCCCCCTGACAGGAGTGGAGTCACCACTATCCAGCCCAGCCGTGACAGAGGGGACATCAGAGGCCGGGGTGCCCCTCACTCTGGACCCCACCACCCCCTCCACAGTCACCAACTGAGCCTCCAGCGGGCCCATCTGGAGGGCGGAGCTGAGCCGCCACTTAGGGTGGATTTTGGCATCACAACCACCTTATCAGCAGTTGCACAAGTGTGCAGCCCTGAGTGTCGCCAGGGAGGCGCCACAGGCTGGTGGGGGTCACTGGCAAGGCCTCCCGAGTGACCTCTCACGTGCACTCAGAGCAAGAGAGACTCCCCTGGAGGACCACCTGGTGGCCTCTGATCGGGAGCGGGCATCCCAGGGAAGGTGTGCACTGCTGAGTGCTCCAGATTGGAAGGGCCTACAGGGCCAGAGAAAGACCCACATCCCCCAGCAGGGAAGGAGGGGAGAAGCAGAGGGCTTCTGAGTGCCTCCTGCTCTGGGTTTCAGGGCATCCCAGCTCTGGCCAGGTCCCAGAGTCACTGGGACTTGAAAATATTTACAGAACATGCATCTGATAAAGGACTTAAATCCTGAATCTATAAAGAACTCTCAAGATGCAATGATAAGAAAAACAAGCAACCCAAGTTAAAAAAAGAAAAGAAAAAAAAACAGGCAACAGATTTGAAAAGCCACTTCACCCAAGATGACGTCCAGATGGAAAATAAACACGTGAACATGCGTCCGTAAGTTAGGGGACTTGTAAGGCGAAGCCGCTCTGAGACACACCGCAGCTCTGGGAGCAGCCAGTCGCCATCCAGCAAGGACTCGCTGCCGGGACGCCAGCGTGTGGCCGATTCTCAGAAAGGGACACACTCATTTCCCGGACAACATGACGATCGCACACCTCGGTGTTTACACGACAGAAATGAAAACTTTGGCGAACCCTTGCGAGTGGGTGTTTGGAGGGCTCTACGCACCACCACCAAAAAGCAGAAGCCACCAAGTGTCTCCCGTGGCTACCAGGATGACGGGCCCTCCGTGGCAGGAGGGCGTGGAAAAAACAAACCATCCACTCAGGTAACACGCTTAGACAAATGCCGGATGCATTCCTGAGTGAGAGAGGCCTTTTCAGGAAGACTGCAGATGGGGATTCCTTTCTAGAACCTTCCAGAATAGGCCACTCCCCAGGAACAGGAAACTGCCTGGTGGTGGCAGGGCCTGCATCTGTCTCTAAACTCGCAGAGCTGACAGCAAAAAGTGAGTTCTGCTATGTGCAAATTAGACCTCGCTGTTTAAAACGCATATATACAAGCTACAAATACCTATGAAATCTTCCCCCAAACGCACCTCTTGGGTTGGGGGACAGGAAGGCCAAAGGAGTACCGAGTCCTCCCCACCCCACTCCAAGGCCAGAGCTCCAAGGAAAAGCGTGGGGGCAGGACAGACGCCCACACCAACCACAGGACCAAGGCTCAGCAAGGAGCAAGGGACAGACAACAACTTGCAGACCCCCCTGAGGAGCCTCCCGGGTGCAGGGCAACCCCTCAACCCACAGAAGACACCCCCGCCACCAGCCCGTCCCTGACTGTCTTCAGTGCAGCCGCTCAGCCACCCATTGGCTCCCTCTGTCCTCGGCCACACAGTGGGCATAAAGCTGATGCACCCCTGCTTAAAATTCCCCGGAGTCATCACAGCACGGAGGGTAAAACCCAGCCCCCTGGCCCTGCGGCTCTTCCGGCACCAGCCCGGAGCCTGCTGGTCCCTGGGCAGCTTGTGGCCTCTGCCTCCTCCAAGCAGCCCTCCTCAAACCCCAGTCTATTCCCCACCCCCGTCTCTTTCCTCCAGGCTTTGAGCTTAATCCGCATTTTCTCCTGGGTTTATTTATTGTCTCTGCTCCACACACTATAAATTCGGGGACAACAGGAGCTGCAGGTGGCCTGTTGGCTTCTGATTCCCCAGCTCTGGCTGCAGAAGGTGCTCAGTTCACAGCTGTGGATAAATGAGGGAGGAAAGTCGCTTTGGCCTGCAGGTCCCCTAAAACCCGGGGCCTCTGTACCATGCCACCATGTCTGCGGCCCAGGGCTTGTGTGGGTGGCATCACCTGCCTTGTCCATGGCTGCAGCAGGCACTCAGGCCTGGAGCCTTGCCTGGCTTCCCTGCCCCACCCCCTCCCAGCATCACACTGTGAAGGCCAAGGGGCACAGGTGTGGGGGGCTGCCACCTTGCCCATGGCCTGCCCTGGGGTCTGAGCCTTGAGGAGGAGGGCTAGGACTCAGGCACTGGTTGGAGCTAGTACCCCAGCATGGCTCAGACCCAACACTCCCCCTTGGAGGTTCTTGTTCTGTTCCTGTTCACCAGACCCCCGGAGCTGCCCCCGTTCCCACACTCTTGGTTCTCCAGCTTCCTGCGAATCCAGGAGCCCCAGTATCCTTCCAGTAAACTCTCACTGGTTTTGGTTGGTCAGAGCTGCTGACCATCTCCCCCAGGCCCAGTCTCTGGTCAGGTTCCTGCCTCCAGGGAGCTTCCTAACCCCAGATCCCTGTCCTCGGGGGAGGAGAAAGAATCTCCAGGTCTTCCGAGCCTCCACCCTGCTGACCACGGAGGGAGTTCAAACTGCGTGGACGATGTCAAGGGCCCCCTAGCACCCTGCCCAGTTGGGCTCCGCCCCAGGGGGGCCCAGCAGGAGCTGGGAGGGGAATCAAGGTTACTTTGTGCTGGCCAGGTCCCCCCTATAGTCCCTGGGGGGCCTCACCTACACAGTCACCCCTCTGCATGCTAGAACAGGTCCTCCCCCCAACCCTCTGACCTGGGGTGCTCGGCTCTGCTGCTCTGAACTCTAGGTTCCTGCCCCGGCCCTCAGGGTCCCCCGCATCCCTCCCATGTCTGGGTAGCTGCTCTGCAAACACACTGTCCACTTTCTCCTAATTTGCATGTGCCCTCTGTGCCCTCCAGGAAATGGGCCAGGGCTGGGCACCTCTGCAGTGGGCTTCATGGGGGCTCCTGCCCCTCAGTTAGCATCAGCACCCTGACCACGGGCTGCAGGCCACGGTGACCCTACCCCAGCTCCAGTGTGAAGGGCGGCCAGGACGTGGGCTCCTGGGGTCGTGTGTCATGCACCTGATGGCCGGCCTGAGAGCTCTCAGTCATGTGGGCACTTGCAGGGCTCAGGTGGTGGCCTCTAGGACCAAGGACCACACTTCCTGCCTCCAGTTGGCCTCTGGATGACTGACAGGTGCCCTCCTTCAGGCTTTGGGGTTCCTCCCGTGTGCTGGGCCTCCAGTTTTGCTGGGGCAGCCACACTAAGAATAAGGAAGAGGAAGGAGGAAGAAGAGGGAGAGTGGGGCAGGGGAGGGGAGGGGTGGAAGGAGGGGAGGAAGGAGGAGAGGGGGAAGGAAGAGGGGAGGGGGAGAGAGATGGGGAGGAGTGGGAGGGGAGGGGGCAAGAGGGGAAGGAGTGGGTTGGGAGGGGTGGGGGAAGGAAGGAAGGGGAGGTGTCCTCAGTCCTCAGCGCTTACCTGGGCCAGCAGGGCAGGCATGTATCCACCTGCCTGCGATGCGACTCTGATCTCAGAAGGACCCTGGGTGGGGTGGGGTGCGGTGGGGAGGGGCGCCGGGTGTTGGAGAAGGGCGCTGGCACACAGATTGGCCCAGATGGCCGAGGGGGAGGAAGTGGGGTGTCTGCACTTGCCGTGGGTCCCCTTTTCATGGAGAAAAGCTGAGCTGTGAGGAATGGGTGCCCGCTCTCCAGGACAGGGCACAGCCAGGCAGGAGCGGGCTGACCCCAACTCATTAGCGAGCAGGCCGCTGTGGGGGACCCAGACCTGGCACCGGGGAGCAGCATGCATGGAGAAATGGGGTGGCCTGCTCTCCGGACCCTCGTGCCTCTCCTCTGCCTCTTCCCTCCTGGGCCCTGTCCAGGTAAGAGGGGCTGGCTCAGATGCGTCAGGTCATGCACATGCACACCGTCTAGGCGTGCGGGAGGCAGGTGGTGGGAAAGGCAGAAGAAGCTCATCCTGGCAAATGGAGCGTGGACAGCACAGGATGGCCTCCTTGGGGTGCCAGGGAAGGACACCGGGCCGCAGCCCACTCTCCCCTGTTGTGTGCAGAAATGAAGACAGTGGGCCTGGGGGCTCAGGACAAGGCGACATCCTCCAAGTTTGTCCTGGCTCTCCTGGCCTTCGGGGGAGCCAGACCACGCAGCGTCAATGACAGGAAGAATCATCAGCCCCAGGCCCCACCAGGGAAAGATGTGCACTGTCCCTCCTACAAGGAACCGACCCTCTGCAAGTCATCACCCGGAACTCTTGCTTCTCTCCAACAGGCTTGGATTCAGAACAACCCCCCGCCCCACTTCCTTCTTCTCCATAAAGTAATGTTTCTTCCCTTCGTTTGTTGGACTCGTCCGTGGTTTTGCTGTAGCTTGCATGTCCCGAATTGCAATTCTCTGCTATTCCCCAATAAACTCATAGTTCCTGGTAAAATAACTTTTTTTTTTTAATATTTTATTTATTTATTTGACAGAGAGAGTGAGAGAGCACAAGCACAGGGAACAGTAGAGGGAGAGTGAGAATCAGGCTTCCCACCGAGCAGGGAGCCCGACGCGGGGCTCGATCCCAGGACTCTGGG